ATCCAAGTGTTAGCTTCCTGGGCTCCCTTTACTAGATACCCCAATACTCCTGGGGTTAAGAGGGGCAACTGGCTGGAGTGGCTCGGAGCTCTCCAGGCATTTTATGAACCAAATAAGAAAAGGGGAGGGTTCCACTCCAGCACATGCCACCGTTACCAGATTAAGCTGGTTGCCTTGGTAACCTCCTCTCTGGGCAGGATTTGGGATTGTCAGTTAGGAAGGGGGAAGAACTGGCAAGTGTGGAGAGTGTGGGGGCTAAAAATAAAAGGAGCAGAGAGAATTCTAGAAACTGGAAGCTTTGGGAGCAGGACCCCAGGATCCCTCCGACTGCTCAATGTCATCAGGCAGAGAGTAAGTTCAAGACTTAAATCAGGGAGGAAAGCAGCCATGGTTCTCCTTGAACAGCAGTGGTACTTACCCCACTGCACACCAGAATCCAGGGGAGCTTTTCAAAAATACTGTGAGCCCTGGCTGATTTGGCTCAGTGGATAAGAGTGTTGGCCTGCGGACTGAAGGGTCCTGGGTTCAATTCTGGTCAAGGACATAAGCCCTGGTTGCAGGCTCAATCCCCACTAAGGGGTCAGCAGGCAGCAGCCAATCAACGATTCTCATTATTGATGTTTCTATCTCTCTCCCTCTCTGAAATTAATAAAAATGTATTTTAAAAAATACTGAGAGGGAGCCAAGATTTGTGGTATTTTTTAAAAATGTATTTTTATTGATTTCAAACAGGAGAGGATGAGAGAAACACCAAGGATGAGAATCACTGATCGGCTGCTTCCTGCACACCCCACTGGGGATTGAGCCCACAACCGAAATTCCTGACCAGGAAGCAACCGTGGCCTCCTAGTTCATAGGTTGCTGCTCAACCACTGAGCCACAATGTTGAACTGTGGTATTTTTAAAAAGACCCCCAAGTAATTAAAATAGGCAGGATTGAAAATTACTGCCCCTGAGGGACATCCCAACCCAAGTGGGTTGCAGATACAGACTGGGATTCTTTATCTTTCGCCCACAGGATAGCAGACGTGTGTGCTGACCCCAAGGGGTGGAGGGCTCCTATGGTCTATCATGGAAGAAAATGAGGGAAAGAGGGCAGTATAATTAACTGTGAGGAGATGCAGGCAAAAAGCCCATGTACTTCCAAGAAGGGGATGAGCAAGGCTACCTAAGGCCCATTCTGTCTGCCCTTACACTCCTCCTTTCTCGCCACCGAGAGGCAGGCTGGAAGGACAGAGAACCTGGGGGCTTTGCTGAGCTTGAGTTTCTTCTCACTGAGCTGGTTACCAGGGCAACAGAGAGCAATGGGATTTGAAGAAGCAAGAGGCAAGGGTGAGGGGGAAGTATCTTAAACCGCTCATTCCTCCTGCCAGTAACCACCCCCAAGGCTGCCTGGCACTGTTTACACGACCTCACATCAGGCCCAGAAATACCCATCACCCTATGGGGAAGAAGGGAAGCACACTTATATGATTTGAAGAGGAATGGGGACAGAGGTGAGGAAAGTCTGGTGGAGGGGGGAGTTCCAACTGTCATTAAGTTGTGCCATGACGTCCTTGCCCCCAGTGCACAAGGATTTGTGGGACGCAAGAACAGATCCTGCCAGCTCCGTATTAAATTCAATTGCTCCCTCACATTGTGGAGAGCTTCTGTAGTAAACTTCCACCCCACCCAGGATCTGGAGGAAACAGTCAACTCAAAGGTAGGAACTGCCCTGTGTTCATCACAGGCCAAGTAGCAAAGGTAACTGGCAGCATGAGCCACAGCTAGAGGTCTTTCAATTGCCCCTCCACGCTGCCTGTGCAAAGATTAACGGGAACCTCTTTCTTAGACGGTGGTCTTTGATACTTCAGTGTCAGCTTGAGTCTTTACTTTTCAGGAAGAAAGCTAGCGGAACCTCACCTCTTTTAGGACTTAGTACAGCTGTACTGCCATTTGGCACATTATCCTGGGAAACTTACTTGCCAAACACAAAGGCAGGCCTAAGGGATATGATGTTCACATAGGTACACAGCCATCTCACTAATTTTTGTCCCTGACACTTCCAAACTGCAGGGTATCCTGGAGTCCATGTGGCAATATGGTTTGGAAAGATAACTGGTGGGGAGTAGACACACTTGTGGCTTCACCGGGGGTCCTCACCTGAGTGGCCTCCATTTCACAAGTTTGAGCCGGCTCAAGTTGTGACTGACTGGGGAATTAAGAAGTCACCTTCCCTCCCTCTCAAATCAAAATGAATGCAAAAAAGCCAAGTTTACAGTCTAAATTTTATTATCTTCAAGTCACAATACTGATCACAAATGTGTACCCTTTAAAACAGTAACAACAACAACAAGAAATTCTTGCAACAAAACACAGCGGACCAACATAGACAACTGTCACAGTGTCTTAAGGTCTGGCAATCTGGGCAATGCTGCCCACGGGCTTGAGGAGACATCTTCAGGTTTAAGGCAAAGGGAACAGCCTACCAAAAGGCACAACCAACAGCTACCCCTGGAAGAACCTCTTAGATTTTTCTTCCTTAAGGGTTACAGCTCGAGTGCCTCTCCTCCCTCCCACACACTATGGACTCAAGAGTGGGCAGGCCAGCTGCTTAAGAGAAAGAATACAAACAGTGACTACTTGGGGAGAGACACAGCTGCCACCTTCTCCCTCAAGTTCCACAGAAGGACAGAGAAGTGGCCAAGGAATCCTTGGCAGACACAGTGCTGCAATAATAGGAGTCGCTTCCACAGAGGCAGCGGAAAGTGGTTCAGTGCCATGGATAGGGAGGAAAGGAGCCCTTGCTGCAGAAGTGACTGGCTTCCTTAGGCCTTAGGCCCAGGTGCAGTACCTTCTGCTTGCAAGGACAGAAGAACTAGAGGAAAATAAGGTGGTAACACGTAAAACACTTGCAGCATAAAGGACAAGACAGATAGATTGCTTGCTGGATAGTATTTGCCTCTAGAGCAGCAGTTCTCAACTTGTGGGTTGCGACCCCTTTGGGGGTCAAATGACCCTTTCATAGGGGTCGCCTAAGACCATCAGAAAACAGGTATTTACATTACGATTCATAACAGCAGCAAAATTAGTTATGAAGTAGCAACGAAAACAATTTTATGGTTGGGGGTCACCACAACATGAGCAACTGTATTAAAGGGTCGAGGCATTAGGAAGGCTGAGAACCACTGCTCTAGAGAGATGCATTGGTCCACAGCAATTGGAAAAGGAGTGTGTTAGGAGGGATGGAAAGAAGCAGGTCCTTATACCACTTACCTCAAAGACTGAGCCCTAAGGACTGTGAACACACATCCCTAACGGGCAAAGGCGCTCACTCCACCCTCGCTTTCTCACAGAAGCATCTGATTTGCCATCTCTCCCCACTGTAGACTCCATCCTCAGTAGAGGCCTGAAGACGACCGGAGACTACTGATGGAGACTCAGGCTCCAAAAAACCGAAACAAGAAGGGCTCCTACCATACACTTCGAGTTAGAGAAGTTAAGAGACTCCAAGTATATAACGAAGTCCAACCAAAAGTGAAAGGCCAGATCGCGGTAGATTTGATGGGAAAAGACTAGCTGGCAATTCTCAATTATCTGCATTGTAGGGAAGAACCAAAAGGGAACCAGAGGAGCCAGCAAACTAGGAAAATGAACTTGTCTCATTTAAAGGCAGAGAAAGGGGAAAGCGAGAGAGGGGGAGAGGGGGAGGGAGATAAAAAGACAAAACAAACAGGAAGGAGCTTCCCTGGGAGCAGAAGACATTTGAATTTCCCAGGACAAAGTGAAGAAGAGCCAAAAACCTGGGTTTCTAGACGTAGACTAGGTGTGGGCTGTCTGATCTCTGCTCCTCTGAGCACACTAACTCCAGCAGAGAGTGGAGACAGTAGGAAGTCCACTTGTTTCTCCCTGTCTCTAACAGAGCCTGTCCTCAGAGGAAGCCAGGGTCCTCCTCATTCAGCTGCTGTGGTAGGAGCCACCCTTTATCTCTGAAGCCCTCCTGGTGGTAGGCAGCCAGCTGTATTTCTCTTCTTTCCTGGGTTCTCACCTCTGCTGTGCTGACAGGAGTGGGGAAAAGGGAAGAACCACCAAGGTGTTAGTGGGCCTTCTGGATATTTACAGGTTGCTTTCAAAAAGCCACATTCCAAATGTGTTTTGAAGTAATATCCCCCTCCCAAAAAACAAAACCCTTATAGTCTTTTTCCTCCATGACCTTTAGAATTGGCTCTAACTGTAACATCTCAAATTTGCTTTTTAATATATACTTTTTTATTTTTCAATTAGGCCTTACATTCAATATTATTTTGTATTAGTTTCAGATGTTCAGCATAGCGGTTAAACAATCATATACTTGACACAGTGTTTCCCCCAATAGTTCCAGTACCCACCTGGTACTACACATAGTTATGACAATATTAGTGACTATATTCCTTATGCTATACTTTACATTCCCCACGACTACTTTATAACTGCCAATTTGTATCCCTCCCCTCTGGTAACCATCAGTCTGTTCTCTGTTGTCTATGCGTCCGTTTCAACTTGGTTTGTTCGTTCATTTTGTTCTTAAGATTCCATGTAAAAGTGAAATCATATGGTATTTGTCTTTCTCTTTGTGACTTATTTCACTTAGCATAATACCTATAGATCCATCCACATGGTCGCAAATGGTAAGATTTTATTCTTTTTTTTTTTTTCTTCATGGCGGAGATAACACCCCAAATTTAATTTCCTTAATAGAAAATACCCTCCTGCATTTTTTCCTTGCAGCTTCCCAAATGAAATTCTGCCACGTTAATAATGTTTTCTATTTCAACTCTGTTCAATGCAAGCTCAAAACAAAGACAAGTGAATTTTGGGATTTCTTTAAGCCTCCTCCCATGATAACCCATGTTACAACTTAATTAGGCGACTGTTAAACAAGTAAGCATGAGCGTTAGTTTTAAGAATGTTTTATGAGAGTCACAGTAAGTTGTGCACTTACTTTTATATCATGTTAGATTTAAAATATTCAGAAATTCATATTAACTGGAACCCCTGCTTACAACCTGAAATAATAAAGTTAGAATCTATTATCAGGTCATTAGAAAAAGACAAGAAAAGAAAAAAAAGAGGGGGGCAATGGTAAGATATGTACACATATAATTCCATAATAATAATAATAATAATAATAATAATAAAAAAGACAACTGTTTTAATAAAAACACACCCAGAACAAAAGGGAAATCTTCTGAAGAGAAGGAAAGCCCACCGATGTAGGATGTGCCCTAAAGCCTGGGAAGCAGCTCTCATACCTCAGGCGGGGGCTTGATGGTGACTGGCTGGGGAGTCCTCCGGGGTGGGGAGGGCTTTGGCTGCACCTGCTGCTGGGCGGGGTTATAGTAAGTCACTCCTCCATATACCTGTGATGGGGCCTGGACACCCCACAAGCCAGAAGAGAAAGTTAGGAGTTAATCCAAACTGTGATGAACAGAAAACACCAAACATTATTCAGGTGCAAAAAGAAAAGGATTACAGAATTTATAATTTTTTAAATCTCGAAGCTGCACCCCTTAAAAATAAAATGAATATTCATTTCTGTCTTATTATGCCTAATTATGCTCCGGTTCCTATTTCTTCAAAGTACTGCCCAGCTTTCTCTGATTCTTACCATCAGTTGACAAATGGAAGAGGCTGAGCTCAGTGGTGATATTAGATACCAGATGGTTTCAACTTATGGAGAATTAAGCAGCACAGGGAGAGATAGGGCTGGTAAATAGAATAGTTTCTTTATGCTGTTAAATAAATGGCCACCTAAGACATACTAAAACACTTAATGGAAGAACCCTAGCTGGTTTGGCTAAGTGAATAGAGGGTTGGCCTGCGGAATGAGGATTTCAGGTTCAATTCTGGTTAAGAACACATGCCCAGGTTGTGGGCTTGATCCCCAGTAGGAGGCAGCCAATCAGTGATTCTCATTATCATTATTTTTTTAAAATATATTTTATTGATTTTACACAGAGAGGAATTGAGAGGGATAGAGAGCTAGAGACGTCAATGAGAGAGAAACATCGACCAGCTGCCTCTTGCATCCCCCACTGGGGATGTGCCCGCAACCAAGGTACGTGCCCTTGACCGGAATCGAACCCGGGACCTTTCAGTCCACAGGCCGACGCTCTATCTACTGAGCCAAACTGGTTTTGGCATAATTCTCATTATTGATGTTTCTCTCTCCCCCTCTCCCTTGTTCTCTGTAGTCAATAAAAATTTTAAAAAGAAATTAAAAAATGGAAGCGAATAAACAGATGATGGGCATTACATAAGCTGCATTTCCAGGTGCTGACTACTAAGAGACATCTGGGAATCATATGTAAATCAGTGGCATTGAACTATTCTCTCCGATTTCTGGAGCATTCTCCCCATACCACAATCCTGTCTGATTTAAAGGATGTGTACCTATAAAAATCTGTTCATTAGCCATCTCACCTGTGTATTAGGATATAGATGAGGAGGTGGTGGGGGAGGCAGTGCTCCTGGAGCATAAGGGTAGCTGGGATTACCAAAGTTCATGACGCCTGGAGCAGAAAAGTAAGTAGGAGCAAGCAACTGCTGAGGCGGAGGCTGTCCTGGAGACATGGACACTGGTGTAGGATAGAGGCCCGGATTGGGCAGAGGCGCTGGTGTCTGATGGGGATGTAAACCTGAACAAGGAGAGGAAAACAAATTAAAACAGAAAATGACCAGTTCCAGCATAGTCAGGCTTGGGAGAGAAATCCTTAGGATGGACCTATGAGCTTTGTTGCCCAAGTAGGCAGAGTGGCCAGCCTCAGAGGCAAGCAGCCCTGAGCTCAGGAGGATGGGGTCTGTAAAACCCCCAACACACATGCTCATGTACAGGAAGCACACAGGCTAGGTGCAATGCTTACCTGGGTGGGGAAGGTGCATTTCTGGCTGCACAATCATGCCCTGAGGAGGCAGTGGGGCAGGGCTGTCTCCATGGGTATAGATTGGTCCCTGGAATTGCACTGTAAAATATCACATTGGGATTCTCATAAACTCTCATTCTTCCTATCACATGGACAAGTCTGCCCATCTCCCAAACCCTTTAAGAGAAGTTCTCAATTTTCCATGTGAAGAAAACACCAACCCGATAATGACGACCACTGTGAGAGGTCAGAAAGAAAGGCAGAAGGCAGGAGGTTGGTCTATTTAGTTTGCTTCACCAAGACACCCCCCCAATCTTAAGAAAAAAGCTCACGTGGATCATAGTAATGCCCCTCCATGATACTGATATGCACGGGAGGGGCAGGGGGCTCCGGCACAGGTCTCTGCCGCTGAGATGAATAGCGTTTGGCTCGCCCACCCTGGACACCCTGAAATAAAGAAATAGGCCTGAGCAGAAGACTCGCATTCAAGTCCCCACCCTCCTTAAGTGGGACTTTGTATATGACATATGTTTAAAAATGAATTGAAAAATCAGTAAAAAACATCAAGACTTGAACCTAAACTCTCTACATTTCTGGAGACCCAAATTAAACAAAACACAGGTGCCCAGACGGCAGAACTCAGTGGTTGAGCATCAACCTATGAACCAGGTCTCAGGTCGTTTCCCAGTTAGGACTCATGCCCAGGTTGTGGGCTCAATCCCCAATGTGGGGGTGCAGGAGGCAGCTAATCAAGGATTCTCTAAACAAAGATGTTTCTATCTCTCTCTTCTTCTCCCTTCCTCTCTGAAATCAATAAAAATTTATTTTAAAAATAATAAAATAAAATTTAAAAAAAATAATAAACAAAACATAGGAAATTGATTGGAAAAGTGATTTCAAAAGCATTCCCCGCTCCCTCCTTCATCTGCCCTTTTCCCCTTCTGTACCATTTCTTCCAGCCGGTTAAACTGAGGTGGAGGTCCTGCTCCCATGTGTATGTGGTTGTGCATACCTGTAACACACCAAAAAAGTCACTGCTGCAGAGCAGACAGACGTGCAACTCAAACATACCATCAAGAAAATAAAGTAAATGGCTTTCTGCTTATAATCTACCGCAGTGATCTGCAAACTGTGGCTCGCGAGTCACATGCGGCTCTTTGGCCCCTTGAGTGTGGCTCTTCCACAAAATACCACGTGCAACTGAAACTTCATAGCCCATGCGCAGAAGTTGGTTTTCGGCTCTCAAAAGAAATTTCAATTGTTGTACTGTTGATATTTGGCTCTGATGACTAATGAGTTTGCCGACAACTTATCTACCGGAATCCCTTTTATACTATATCTGCTTCCTGTCAATACCAGCATTTGGATATTTGCCCCCATTGACAATTACCTTAATACAGCAATCAAGCCGTTAACATTTTTAAAAATTTACTTCAGTGAGAAACTACAAGTTCAAAATTTCCCCACCAAATACTTCCCTGCACAGAATCACTGGGAGATTACAATAAGCACATTACATTAAAAAAATATATCAGCTCCAGGGTTTCTGAACAACAACTGGAAAGTGAGGCATGTTTTGTAACCCACGCTAGCCATCCAGGTCTGGCTTGGAAGCTTGGGAAGAGATTCCCTTCTGGTTGAAAATGACTCAGACCAACAACAAAAAAAGATTACATATTAGAGACTGTTTTCCAATGATTTTTTTCTCCCAAATGATGATAAGGTATCAGTGGAAGGGTATACTTCTTGATCCAAAGATCAACTCTAGATCCAGTTGAGATGACACTCGTTTTTGCTGTTCAAAAACCATGCACACCAGAGAAGGATGCTGAAACTCTCAGGCTACATGAGGATTTCCAATCTTTGAGTTCAAATCTGATTTCAGAAACTAGAGAAAAGATTCTTTGATCTATCTGGTTGGAGGAAGACAAAGGATGGGCAAAATGGGTGGTAGACGGGACCTAGTCTCTAGAATTGTGCTGTCCAATACAATACCACATGAGGCTATTTAAATTTCAACGTTTAAAATTAAAAGTTCAGTCACCCAGACCTGGCCACATTTTAAGTATTCAAAAGCACAATTGTGCTATGGCTCAGTGATTGAGAGTCAGCCCAAGAACCAGGAGGTTATGGTTTGATTCCCAGCCAGGGCACATGCCCAAGTTGCAGGCTCAATCCCTAGTGTGAGATATGCAGAAGGCAGCCAATCAATGATTCTCTTTCATCATTGATGTTGCTTTCTCTCGCTTCCTCTCCCTTCCTTTGAAATCATTAAAAAATAAATTTAAAAAATCATATGCATGCACCATCAATACAGAGAGTTCTTTTAAGTAGCCTCTAGAACAGTAGTTCTCAACCTTTCTAATGCCACGACCCTTTAATACAGTTCATGTTGTGGTGACCCTTAACCATAAAATTATTATTATTTTTAAAACATATTTTATTGATTTTTCACAGAGAGGAAGGGAGATAGCCAGAAACTTCAATGAGAGAGTCATCAATCAGCCTCCAGCACGCCCCCTACTGGGGATGTGCCAGCAACCAAGGTACATGCCCTTGACCGGAATCGAACCCGGGACCTTTCAGTCCACAGGCCAATGCTCTATCAACTGAGCCAAACCAGTTTCAGCCATAAAATTATTTTTGTTGCTATTTCATAACTGTAATTTTGCTACTGTTAATGGATCGTAATGTAAATATTTGTGTTTTCCGATGGTCTTAGGCTCTACAGCAGCTATCCTGTTTCCCCAAAAATAAGACAGAGTCTTATATTAATTTTGCCTCCCAAAGTTGCGCTAGGTCTTATTTTCAGGGGATGTCTTATCTTTGGGGAAACACAGTAGTAAGATCACCTAAGACCATTGGAAAACACAGATATTTACATTATGATTCATTAACAGTAGCAAAATTACAGTTATGAAGTAGCCAAGAAAACAATTTATGGTTGGGAGTCATCACAACATGAACTATATTAAAGGGTCGCGGCGTTAGAAAGGTTGAGAACCACTGTTCTCGAGAGACTTTCTTTTCAAAGAGATTAAAAGATTCCCATCCAAATTCAAATGAATAACTTTCTGCCTTCAAACTTTAGCCATTAGCTCAGCTCAAATAATAAAAACACTTCCACTATTCTACAGAGTGGTAAAGGATTCTGCACCTAGGAATTCACCCCCCTCCTTTACCCCCTATCCTCACCCAGGATGTTTAGAGGGAGAGAGGAAGGGAGAGAAAGGAGGGAGGGAGGGAAAGAGAAAGAGAGAGAGACAGACAGAGAGAGAGGCACATCAATGTGAGAGAAACATCAATTGGTTGTCTCCTATATGCACCCTAACAGGGGATGGAACCCACACCTAGGTATGTACCCTGACCAGGAATCAAACCCACCACCTTTAGGTGTATGGGACAACACTCCAACCTACTGAGCTCACCAGCCCAGGCCAGGAACTCATTATTGGTTAACAGTAGGCAACAGATAAAACTGCTATGAGGTCCTTGGATGAATATATATAGGAATACATCTGTTTTTTGCAGTTAATGAAAACACAGATATTCGTCAGACACCGCATCCCTGAAATTAAGTCCAATGTCCTAAACCCAGTGTTGTAAAGGGTGGTGGTGAGGGTTGGTGGTGGGGGATCATCTGGTTACTAACCCTAAGGTACCTACCCCGAAGTTCGCGTGGTGGCAGGAATGAAGGTTGCCCTGGATTCCAATTCTGCTCTGTTATATTCAATTGTGCCACGTCTTGCTCAAGTCCACTTGTAGCAGAATCCACTGGAGCCTCCCAGTTCCCAGTCTTAGCAGGTGAAGGAGGAGTAGTTTCTGGAACTTGAGGGGTGGGGGTCAGCCCTTCGGGTAGCGGCGGCATCTCCTCTGCAATCTTGACTGCATCTCCAGCTTTGGTTCTGGTTCTTCTTACACGGGAATAGGACTTCTTCTCAACAGGTCTGTCAGGGGGCGGGGGTGCAGTGTCAGGAGCAGAAACAGGAGCTGGTGTCTCTGAGGCCACCTCTTCCTTCTCAGGACTGCCAAGCACTTGAGCATCTTCTTCTGGAGACAGATCCCGCACAGGAGTCTGCTCCAGGCGCCGTGACCGGTAACTACTCTCATGTTTAACAGTCTCACCAGACCGGCCACCATGCTGTCCGCCAGTCTCCACAGGCCTGAATCCAGCACGACCTTCCTTGAAGCTCCCAGATCGAGAGTAGTTCCTAGGGGCAGACATGCGACCGGTACCTGCAGCTTTCCTACTGACAAAGGTCCTTGGTGGGAGGGTCCCTCCAGGACCCTGGTGGCGATGAGACTTGTTTGGTCGCTCACCAACCCAATTTGGATCTCTTTGTGGAGGACTCCCAAACCTGAATAAATGAAATAAAGAAGTCTTACACTGAAGGTCAGGAAGATGTCCCATATTCCTCACCCATTCAATTATTTGCTGGAATGGTATTTAAAAAAGCCGAGTTCTTTCTACAATATCAATAATCTAGGCTCCAAAATTTCCTCACCTGGGTTTCCGGATTCTTCGGGGTTTGATGTCATCAGGATTGTGAGCTGAACGGATGTCATACCCGTAAAGAGCAATGAGCTCCTGGCGGGACTTCGGGGCCTGCTCATCTTCCCGGAACTTGTCATGTTCCCAGCGACCCTCATCCTTCCACAGTTTCCGCTGACGCCCCTTGGGTCTGGATAAAACCAGGAAAAAGTGTCTTAGGTTGGCAGAATCTGTCAAGTAAAGATGTTCATGAAACAAACAGGGTTGGGCATGGAATCGGAAGAAGCTTGTAGTCTTTCCCTCTTTCCAGATTTAAAGCAGGCCTCCCAAAAGCAAGAGTGAAGCAGTACCTCAGGGCTTGCTGGGCTCACATGCAACAGGAACAGAAATAAAGGTTTCACTTCAAACTACTCAGCACCTAGGAAATACCTTTACTATACGGCAGCCTATGCAAGTGCTTCATATCCCACAGGCCTCGAGCCTCGGATCAGGGAAGGCAAGTGGAGGGTAGGTGTGGATCCTAGTTATCGCACCAAGAGTTACCAAATATTCTAAGCTTCACTTTCCTCATTTGTAAAGAGGTAATACTTACCTTAAAAATGTTGTGAATGCAGGTAAAGCACTCCAGCAAAGGTAAAGGCCTAGCATACAATAAACACTAAATCTATATACTACAGTAACAGCGGCTGTTACCTGACTTCCTCCTCCTGAGTCTGCCCTCGAAGATCATGCTCAAAGAAGAGCCCTTTCCGGGGTATGTAGGCAGGGTTCTTCCGATCTTCGTCGTCATCCAAATGCTTGGAGACTTTGTTCTCCACAGGCTCTGTGCTCTCCTGGGGGACAAAGGGCTCCTTACTCCCTCCAAAGCGGAAAGTCCCTCTTCCAGCCCCAAAATGGAGGCCTCTGGTGAGTACTGACCTGTCCATCCCCGCTCTGCCGCTCCCCCGTCACAGTGCCTTTGGAGTCCGGCTTTTCTTCTCCCTTCTCTTCTTTTGCTGAAGAATTAGCAGCATCATTGGCTTCTGATTTCAGCTCCACTTTGGAGTTTTCCTCTTCACTGTATTCCCCTTCTTCACCCTGAAAAAAGTTTTCCTGTCATCTGTGGAGAAAGATCTGAAAGGTGCTTTAAAAAAAAAGGTTTAAAAAAAATCCTCATCAGAGGATGTTTCTCATTGATTCCAGAAGGAAAGGGAAAAACATCGATCCGTTGCCTGCTACACGCTCCAACTGACCAGTGATCAAACCAGCAACCTAGGTATGTGTCCTAACTGGAATGAACCCACAACCGTTTTTGGTGTATGGGACAACACTCCAACCAGGGCTGAAAGGTGCATTTTATTTATTAAAATGTATCTTATTGATTTTTTACAGAGAGGAAGGGAGAGGGATAGAGAGTTAAAAACACCGATGAAAGAGAAACATCAGTCGGCTGCCTTCTGCACAACCCCTACTGGGGATGTGCCCACAACCAAGGTATATGCCCTTGACCGGAATTGAACCTGGGACCTTGAGTCTGCAGGCCGATGCTCTATTCACTGAGTCAAACCGGATAGGGCTGAAAGGTGCATTTTCAAGTTTTCCATTCTTTAGGAAAACATTTTCTAACAAACTTAAAAATTAAAAGCATCCCTAGCCAGTTTTGCTCAGTAGATAGAGCGTCGGCCTGCAAAGTGAAGGGTCCCGGGTTCTGGGTCTGACCTGAGCCTGAACCACACCCTTTTGTAACTAGACCCAGGCTGGCCTCAGGAATCTGATCAGAGACTCACTGTCAGTTTCCTGATGAGGCAAGATGCTCTAAGTTCTTGCCCTTTTTCTTCAAAGAGAGCTGAATCAGCCTGATCGGTCCAGACAAGCCAATTAATTCCTCTTCCCCATTCTTCTCTGTTCAGCATCTGGGCATTTTGGCCTTTAATATCTGGGATTAGATTTTCAGAAAGGTGATACTGGTATGAAACCCACAAAACTGAGGAAGACTGCTTAATCCTACCTGCACTAAGCCTTTATCCATAGCTTTTTAACAACCAAATACCCTTGATTCCTTCCATTTTCCCTCAACCATAAGAAGTTTTCCCTCCTCTTGAAATGGGGATAGGTGTGTGGGAATCATTCAGTTCTTTCCTTGATCCTAGGTTCCAAGCAGGTTTGAAGCAGAAATTGCAAGAATCTTGCTTGGTGCTTTATGAGACCTTAACTAATATCTCCCTCCCTCCCTCCCTCCCCCCCCACCTTTCTCTCTCTCTCTCTCTCTCTCTCTCTCTCTCTCTCTCTCTCTCTCTCTCTCTCTCTCTCACACACACACACACACACACACACACACTCTGAATTTAAATATCTTAAAATAGTATCATGATTAATAAGGGAACTTTGTTTTATGCTCCACCTCCTCTAGTCTGGTAGAATGTCAAATGAGACAACTAATTTTGTTTCCAGGGCAGGGCAGGAAGATACAATGGCATAGCGCTGAGGAGATGCCAGATTAGTCAAAGTCTGATTTAACTGAAGCCAAAGTGCTACCCCAGGGTCACACCGTTTTGACGCAGAGCTAACGGCAAACCCTTTTCCAGAGACAAACTCCCTGCTGCTGATTCCACTCTAGCGAGCACTCTCCCCACTCTAATGCCTAACTCTCCCCTAACTCAATCGCTTCTTTAGCAAAATTCTCACTGCGGAGGTGTTAGCTCATTCTCTACTCCACGTAGTTCAGAGTAAGAGGTGGGTTCTTCCTTATTCTCAATGTCTCTTCCAGATCCAACTCCTCCAGCCTCATTTTAAACTCCTGCTCCCCGGGGGGCGCCTATCACCTGCCTACACCTCCGTGCCTCTGCTTAGGCCCGCCCTGTCATTAACTTTAATACTTTAGCAATGAGTTCGCAGTCTTCACCTCCACTTCAGCCAACCATTCCCACGGCCATACTACAGACCAGTCTTACCTGTGTGAGTGAAACAAGGATTTCAATGGAAAGTACCCTTGCCCTAGCTCAGTGGATAGAGGGTTGGTCTGCGGACTGAAAATTCCCAGGTTGGATTCCAATCAAGGGCACATGCCCAGGTTGCAGGCTCAATCCCCAGTAGGGGGCGTGCAGGAGGTTGCCAATCAATGATTTTCTCTCATCATCAATATTTCTCTCTCTCCCCTCTTCCTTCCTCTCTGAAATCAATTAAAAAAAAAAAAGTACCCTCACAGGATGATCTGATCGTAACTGGACAGGTCATGGTGGGCGTAACGCCTCAGGCTTATAACTTCTTCAGTAAAAGGTGTATCTTTGCCTTAAATAAGCCCTGTCCATTGTTTCTGTATATGTAGGTTAATACACCTTTAAATAAGCAACCACTCTCAAAAGAGCACATAATCTTGTTAACTATCCTATAATCCAACCCCTCATTGCTTTTCCCCACCTCCATGTAATCTTCCTTACATTCACTCCTTAATTTCAAATGCATAAAATAATCAATAAAACTGTTATTCTCCGGAGCATTTGAGATCTTGCTCCCTGTGTTATGTCACCAGTTTGGCTCCAATACACGCTCACAAATTCTCTACAGGTTGAATATTTTGTCAACACCTGAAATTGTTATGCAGTTTTTAAAGCAAACCTGCTTCACTTTTTAAATCCTAAATTTAAATACCCTAGACTTTGATCAAAACTGCCACTTACTTCACCCCATACACAAAAATTAACTCAAAATGGATCAAAAACCTAAATATAAGAGCTAAAATGATAAAACTCTTAGAAGAAAATATAATGGTTAAGCCCTGGCCAGGTAGCTCAGCTGTGTAGTATCAACCAGCTATACCAAGGTTTCGGGTTCAATTCCTAGTCAGAGCACATATAAGAATCAATCAATGAATGCATAAGTAAGTGAAACAACAAATAATAAATAATAATTAAAGAAACAAACATGGGGCTAATCTTCATGACTTTGGGTCTGGCATGGATTCAGCAAAGGCTTCTTAGGTATGACACCGACAGCACAAGCAACAGAAGAAAAAACATACTGAACGTCAAAACCCTCAGCAAAGTTCAGTGGTTAGAGCACCGGCCTGCAAAATGAAGGGTCACGGGTTTGATTCCAGGGCAAGGGCATGTACCTGGGTTAAAGGTTCGATCCCTAGCCCAGCAAGGGCACCTGTGGGGTCAACCAATCAATGTGTTTCTCTCACATCAATGTTTCTTTCTCTCTCTCCCCCTCCCTTCCACTCTCTCCAAAACCAATAAAAACAAATTTTTAAAAAAAGGACAGAGTATCTAAATAGCACTTTCTCTAAGAAAGTATGCAAATTAGCTGATATACACAAGAAAAAATGCTCAACACCATTAGTCATCAGGAAAATGCAAACTGAAATGAGATACCATGTCATATCTACTAAGATGGCTGAAATAAAAAAATCAAGACAATACAAGTGCTGTCTAGCATGTGGAGAAATTAGAATTCCCATACATTGCTTTTGGGAATGTAAACTGATGCAGCTGCTTTGGATAACAGTTTGGCTGTTCCTAAAACGATTAAACAGAGTTACCAAATGACTCAGCAACTCCAGTCATAGGTACATTCCCAAGATAAATGAAATATATTTCTACACAAAAACGTGTAATAGCAGCATTATAGCAGCATTACTCATAACAAAAAATTAGTAATAACCCAAATGTCTATCAATGGATGAATGGGTGAACAAAATGTGACCTATCCATACAACGAAATATTATTCAATCAGAAAACAGAATGGAGTTACTAATGCATGCTACAATTTACTAAAAAACTAGCTAAGTGAAAGAAGCCAGTCACACCAGTCTACATGTTATATGATTCCATTCATATGAAAGGCCAGAATAGGGAAATCTCTAGACACAGAGAGTAGACTTGTGGTTGCTTAGGGGCAGGAGGGATGCAGATGGAGGAACTAGGGGCAGGGGTGATAACTCAATGACAGGGTTTTTTCTAAGGTGATAAAAAATGTTCTAAAACTGTGGTAATGGCCACATATATCTGTAGATGCATTAAAAAAACAGAATTAGCCGAAACCAGTTTGGCTCAGCGGATAGAGCGTCGGCCCGCAGACTCAAGGGTCCTGGGTTCAATCCAGTCAAGGGCATTTACCTTGGTTGCGGGCACATCCCCAGAAGGGGGTGTGCAAGAGGCAGCTGGTTGATGTTTCTCTCTCATGAACGTTTCTAGCTCTCTATCCCTCTCCCTTCCTCTCTGTGAAAAATCAATAAAATATATTTTAAAACAAACAAACAAACAAACAAAAAAAAAACACATAGAATTAGTGTGCCTAAGTGGTTGAGTGTTGACCCATGAACCAGGAGGTCACGGTTTGATTCCCAGTCGGGGTACATGCCCGGGTTATAGGCTCAATTCCCAGTAGGGGAGGTGCAGGAGGCAGCCGATTAATGATTCTCTCTCATCATTGATGTTCCTCTCTCTCCCTTCCTCTTTGAAATCAATAAAAACATACTAAAAAAGAACACACAAAAACAACAAGGATTCCTATTCATGTATTTAAAGAAAACACACCATAGAATTGTAATTTTAAATAAATTGAATAACATGTCAATAAAAGGATTTAAAAAACAAAAACAAAAAACCCTGCCTATTATTTCTATTCTTACCCAGTTTTTCCCTTATTCTCTCACCTACAACCTGATATATACACTCCCATGACATCCCACTTTCTCTTTATCATTCAGTTCTTTCCTACATTCCCTTTCCTCTCTCTAGATTCAAAGGCCCGTTTACTTTAATCATTACTAATAACTCCCTCAATTCTCTTGCCATTCCCATGTGCTCAGGACTGGACCAAGTCATATGTCTCCTTTCTCTAGACTACTGACCATAACTGAAAAGAGTTAAAAAAAACACACATCACGCATCAATGTCACCTTCAACCTCAGCTACCCAAACCTCTTTTAGTCTCACAACTCTTTTTTTTAATTTAATATATTGTTATTGAATTCATAGAGGAAGGGAGAGGGGGAGAGATAGAAACATCAATGATGGGGAAAAAATCATTGATCCACTGCTTCCTGCACACTGCACACTGGGGATCAAGCCCACAAGCCAGGCATGTGCCCTGACCGGGAATCAAACTGTGACCTCCTGGCTCATAGTTCGAAGCTCAACCACTGAGCCACGCCAGCCAGGCTAGTCTCACAACTATTTTTTTTAAAATATATATTTTATTGATTTTTCACAGAGAGGAAGGGAGAGGGATAGACAGCTAGAAACATGATGAGAAAGAAACATCGACCAGTTGCCTCCTGCACACCCTCCACCGGGGATGTGCCCACAACCAATGTACACGCCCTTGACCGGAATCGAACCCGGGACCCGAGTCCGGAGACTGATGCTCTATCCACTGAGCCAAACCAGTTTCAGCTGTAGTAGCATAGTTTTTGACCTTCAAATATCCACATGAAATGAGAACTTCTAAACAAAATCAAAACTCTTCTAATAACACACACACAAAAAAACATCTAGGTTACAAGGTATCCTAAAATAAATGCACATAACAAAGTACACACACACACAAAAAGAACAAAGCACCAACAGCCACAAGACCCGTACCAAATTAGTGTCAATGCCAGAGAAAGCAGAGAGAAGTAAGTGGATCTGCAGACGGAACGCTGAAATAATCAACAGGTCTTCAATGGAAAGCAAAACTGAGAACAGGGGGCAACCAATCAACGTGTCTCTCTCAATAAATCTAGCTTTTTTCATAGCAACATAATTTTCAAGTTGATAATTTTATATGGCCCGCAAATGATGTTATAAATATCCAAATGACCCTTGTCAGAAAAAAGGTTCCCACCCCTGCTCTAAATGAACAAGACCTTTTGGGCCCTGGTAATTCAGTTGATTAGAGCAGTGGTTGGCAAACTGCGGCTCGCGAGCCACATGCGGCTCTTTGGCCCCTTGAGTTTTTAGCAAAGGCCAGCTTTGGAGTACCCTAATTAAATTAATAACAATATACCTACCTATATAGTTTAAGTTTAAAAAATTTGGCTCTCAAAAGAAATTTCAATCATTGTACTGTTGATATTTGGCTCTGTTGACTAATGAGTTTGCTGATTACTGGGTTAAAGCATCATCCCAATACACCAAGGTTGCAGGTTCGATCTCCAGTGAGGACACACACATGAATGAATGAATGAATGAATGATCAAAACAACAAATCGGTGTTTCTCTCTTTCTATATCAATAAATAAAACTAAAAATGTTTTTAAAAAAAACCTTATGTATCAGCTTTTCCAAAGCATAAAGAATGCAAAAGAGTAACAACTAGGTCATGATACTTTTGAACCACAGGCATATATATATGTTTTTAAAAAACACTTAAATATAGACATCAAAGGAAAAAACCTATCACACTCACTTCTGAGTCTTCTGCACTTTCATAATCCGAGAGAACAGCTGAAAAGAAAACAGAAATATGTCAAGAAAAAAAAACTAACAGAAATGATTATAATTACATTTCCTGACTGCTAAATATAATTTAAATCTGATATCAACTTATTAAGTAGATAAAATTATAGTCTCCATTTACAGATGGGAAACGGGCTCAAAGATCATACCGCTAAAACGTTATGCTCTTTAGTATTATGCTACAAAGAGACACTCTGTACCACTCTTCCCCCCTCCCCCCCGCCCACACCCCCCAAATCCCTAACATCCAGAGATGTCACCTGCTGGAAAAAGGTGACCTGAGTTTTGGGGCAAAAATACCACCATGATGCTACTCACCATCGCCCTCGATGCCATCTTCACTCTCCTGAAAGAAAGAAGTCATGGGTTATGCAGTGATTTCCAGAGGGTGGAGAGCTGGAGACTCAACACAAAATAGTCAAAAAGGGAGATGAGGATGGGCACATCTTTAACAAGCAGCATCGGAGGGAGGTCCGGTCTCTTCTTCGCCTCCAGCCCCGTTTGTGAATAACATTCGCTGTCAATCCGCAGCGGCTCCGCACTCCTCCCAGAAACCCCCGACCCCTCCTCTTCCCTGGGGGCTCCGGATGCAAACCGCCCCGGGAAAGCCGTCCTCTACTCCTACACAATGTGCCTCCGCATCGATCCCCGACTCTCAGCCTCCCACCATCACCTACACACCCCGCCCCCGGCCCGCCAGCCGCCGCTCCGACCCGCCGCGCCGCGCCCCGCCCGCGCACTCACACACTCAGACTCCTCAGCGCTCTTGGCCCCCCCGCTCTCCACCCGCCGCAGATGGAGGGCCCCAGCTCGGCCTCCGCGCTGGGAAGGCAGAGAGCCGCTGCCGCCGCCTCCGGTGCTACCGCTGCAGCCCCCGCCGCCCCGAGCCGGGGAGCCGCCGCTGTCTGAGCCGGAAGCACCGGACTCCTCGTCCTCTGTGTCCTGCGAAGCGCGCTGCCGCCGCCGGTCAGCCATCTTACGGAGAACGGCCGCCCCCAGCCAGTTCCTGACGTACGCCCGTCGCGGGGGCCGCCGGGAGGCTGGAAAGCTAGTCCCAGCATGCTTCGCGCGAGGCACTGACCGCCCGCTTCTCGGGGGCGGGGCGCGGGGGGCGGGCCTAGCGCGCTGCGGCACGTTTGCGGGCGAGCGGGATTACGTAATCGGTTACGTCAGGGGGCGGGGCGCGCCTTCTGACTTCTTTTCGGGCAGCTCAGGGCGAGGGCGATCTGCGTTTGGGTAGCCTCTTTCGGCCGCTCGTCCGGCCATCTTGGCTTCCCGAGTGGAAGGCGTCGACCTGTCACAGCTTCACTGCGGCATTAGAGCTGTTGATGGTTTATTTTTCGATTTCTTGTTTCTGCCTACGTTGGAAGCAGATCATCTTACTGAATTTGGTGAAATCACGAGCCAAGGTAAACTTCTGAAGTAGAGCTGCATCATCAGGATTGCCACCCCGTCCCATTTTAGGCTAAAGGGCGGAGGAAAAGCCATGATGTCTGCAGTGAAGCCCGAGGATTTACAATTGCACGTTCCCTTCGTTCTCATTTCCTCTCCATTTATTCTTGTCTCTCTCCACCCCAGTCACCACCTCTCCCAAAGTGCAGGCTGGCATGATGCTAAGTCTTACAAGATTTTAGAACTGATTTAAAAAAGAGATGATTAGGAACCGTCATTGGTTTAATGGAGTGGCATGATTTCCTTGTTAACCAGATGAAGAAATGCTTTGATTTTAGCAAGACTGAAAAATTTTTTTGTCAGTACGAAAAAACCCCAGTATACCAGGTGGAGCAAAAGTAGGTTTATAGTTGAGTACCTACAAGTTTATTCTTGTATTACTATTTATTAGCTATTGTATTCCATACAAACAACTGTAAACCTTCTTCCCCACTAGTATTTTCTTTGGACATATACATACAAGATAGGTGAGCTAAGTTATTAGTGCACCTACAAGAATACACCTTTATATCAGAAAAAGGTCACTGTGGCACAGCACAGGATTCTTTCATGTGTGATATCTTTACAAGTTATGATTAAGGATCCTGATGCTTATAAAGTTACAGGCAATATGAAACTAGAAGGCATTCCCAATGCCTTCAGAGATAGAACCAGGATCCAAACAACTGTTTAAACAAGTTGCCAAGTGTGAGAACTTGTAAATCTAGTTCCAAAAACCAACTGCCCTAGTTCAAAATGATGTATGATTTAATGTAAAACAAAACAAAAAAACCCACCAGCATAGCTCAGTAGTTGAGCATCAACCTATGAATCAGGTCACTGTTCAATCCTGGTCAGGATCAGACAAGCCCAGGTTGTGCAATAGATCTCCAGTAGGGGGCATGCAGGAGGCAGCCGATCATTGATTCTCATCATTGATGTTTCTCTCTCTTGCCCTCTCCCTTCCTCTCTGAAATCAATAAAATATATTAAATAAAATCTACAAACAGAATTATTTAATGCTTCACAAAATAAATTGAAGCAGAAGTTCAAAAATTAACAGCCACAATAGTTTATTTACAATTGAACTCTTTATAAGATATTTACAAGACAACCAATTTTACACATCAGAAATGGTATCAAAAGTATGAATTACAACACAGACAACAATATGAAATGGGTTTAAAACAAAGCTGAAGTGGACAGACAAGCAATTTCTCTCTTTAATTTATTAACACTAGCTTAAACTTTGTTAAAGAAACAAAGATCTATGTTTTAGGAGGACTGCAGGGCCTTCAGTTAAAGACTGAATTTCACAGTGTTGTACCCCCATGTGGGGAAAAAATAAGATTAATTTTCCCCCACACTCTTAACACACTGTAATTTCACTCTTGGAACTTTGCTAATCTACTTTCCAAAATCCTTCTCAACAAACCTCAATACATCCAAATCAAAGGAGAATTGTCTAAAAGAGGGGACAATAAAATAAGAGGTTCTAGGTAGAGGGATTCCCAAGGAAATAGAATCCAATTAAGTCTGGCTATTAGCACCTCAAGGATTCCTCTTCATCTAGCTCAAGTTCAGAATCTGGGGAGTCTCCTGGGTAGGGCACAAACAAAAGATTAATTTGCTAACTCATACCCAAATTAGGAATCCAATAAAAATGCTGAAAATCAAGAAGAAACTTTGAGGAAGCAAGGAACAAAGTAAAGACACTGGTCTATTTCCTTCTTGGGCACATTATAAACGTAACATGGGTCAGAGTAGGAAAACCAAACAGCTTGCCAGGTTAAAATGATGGAGAACAAAGAAAATCTGGCCATTTTTCTGGAAATCTCTTTCCTCTTCTCAAAGTGTGAGACGAGAGCCCCTAGAGGAATACCGTAAGTCCTATTTCTCTCTATATTCTTGCAATGAAGTTCATAGCAGGTTCCTTTGTGGAGAGCCCACTCTCCTAAGCAGATGGAGTTACAGATAAAAACCCAAAGCCACACACACACACACACATACACACACACACACACACACACACACACACACACACGGAGAAATAAGAGCAGCAAGATCATCCAAGAATACTACATGTGCTGCCAGAATAATTCTTTGAAAGTCAAACCCAGGGAGCAGATTAACATCTCACAAAAAGCTCTAGCAGTGGAAGGACCCTGAGGAACTTCTCTTTTCTTCCCACAATGGTATTCCATTCTCTCATGCTCCACTGATGGGCTGGCCACACACCCTACATACCTTGGCTTTTCCTCTAAAAGTGCTAATAATCTGGGGGCATACTCTCTTCAAGGATAAAAGTCCCTATCTTCTAGGAGATTAGGCCCTACTTGTTTTCACACAGTAGTCCTGAAGACTAAAGAAAGGCAATTCCTATATATTTAAGACCCGAGGTCTTGGCTCTATTTTCCTTCTGGACAGTTACAGGGAACTTACACTGAGACCAAAGTGGCCTGGAGTGCTGGGCTGACATTTTTTAACAAAAGGGGTGTGTGTGGCGGTGGTAGTGGTGGTAGTGAGGGAGCGGGGGGACCAAGATGGTACACATACAAATCAGTTTTTACAAAGTGAATAGAGAAGCTCATCAGGTACATCTGTCTGTTTAAAGATGTAGACATTTGCCAGCCAAAGGAAGCTCATATCTCCACATTCACCCCCCACCCTCCCTAAAGCTCTATCCCACCACCAAGAGCTCAGCTAAAAGGATAAAGCCCAATAAAGGAATACTTGAGAAGTGATGTGACACAAGGACATCTATACAGGTTCTGGCATGCCATCCCCAAATGTCAACTGCTTTCGTTTAGAGCTATAACTTGTCCAAAAGTAACCATCCCCATTCTATTTTCCAAAGATTTTATTTTTTGAGGGGTGGGGAAAGAAATTCAGTTACCCATTAACAAAAAAAAAAAAAAACCCACAAAATAACAGCCAAACATCCTTTGCCACATGGCTATATCACAGAGTAGTTTTAAGAGAACTATCTTTTCAGACATTTACCTACAAACTCTCCAAATGCTACCCTGTGAAGATGACTTGCTTCATCACTTCAGTTATTCCTCATCTGGTCCTTAAGCTCATGGTGTTGGGTTTTTGTTTGTTTGTTTTGGGGTAAAAACCACTATACTCAAACTACATGGAAGGGTATACCAGGGCAAGAAGAGTGCCATGCAGCACAGATCTAACGGCAAGGGATGCTTTATTTCCACAAGTGCAATGAAAGAGCCCTTTTACCCCTTTGAAATCGGCAAATGTACAGAAGCAGACCCTGCAAGCTTCCAAATCTGCCACCCTAGAGATTTAGCTTGAGAGCTCTTTTCCCCAAAAGAGGAAAAGATATCCCAATCACCTTCTATAATTCACAATTAGCCCAATGAAAGAGTTTTTGTGAAATCAGAATGATGAAAACAAAACCAAGATCAAGAAAGTATGAAAGGGCATTATCAGTGATAACATACATGAGGACACAGGTCACATATACAGGTCTCTGCCACTCTCTGGGAATGGCACGCTACAACTATCTGAAGACAGAAGGTTCTTGCCAGCACACAGTTATTTCCTACAAGTCCGGTGAGGTGTTTGCTTCTTCTGTATCTCCAACCTGCATCGGCTTCGCTCATCCAACCAGGGCAGCTCAAAATTCCTGGCAAAAAGGATAAGGAAATCAATGTCCAACACTAGAGGGACTCAGTGTGGACATGAGAATAACTGAAAAAAACACAAAGTCCCTCACCACTCCTAGCCCTGACTCCCAAGTCCCAAGTTTGGAATGTCTTTCCTGCCTCAAAGTGATTGAATAATCTATTTCTAACTTAAAAAAATAAATCCTCATATTTCTGGGCTTGGGAATCTTATCACTGCACAAGCTAGTTGCCCAGGTAGTCTCACTTCTGTCAAAGAATCATAGCTATCCCCTAAGCCAGTGGTCAGCAAACTAGCTCTGTTGACTAATGAGTTTGCCGACCACTGTCATATACTACCCTTTACCTCTTTGCACACAATATGCCACTACTGCCTAATCCCCACAGCTTCCAACTACACGGTAACATTTAGTCTAGCAGTGGTCGGCAAACTCATTAGTCAACAGAGCAGCAAACTATGGCTCACGAGCCGCAGTTTGCCGACCACTGCTCTAAGCCACCCAATTCCCCTTATATCCAGGTTTTCATACAGACTGACATGGAGGTAAAGTATCAGCTACCTGAGAAGGGAGAGGAAAAATAACCCTTTATACTTACTGTGGAGTTAATTTTGGTAATGGTCGTCCAAATGCTACAACAGGCAAGAAGGGAGTAATCATCAAACTTTCAACTAGGGAAGAAAGCCAAATGCAACCTTGTTAGTGACATAATTGAGAAATGTCTGTCAACTACATCTGCTCCAACATACTGTTCATTCATTCAGAACAAGTTGTAGCCTGGAACCTTGTGCCCATTTTCTTTGTTAAAAAAACTACTCGTTTAGGTAGACAAAACTTACCATCATCTGGCTCAGGGAAAAATGAGGTAACCTCAGGCTCAGATTCCTGAATTCCTTTCTTTTTATACATTCTGAGCTGCAGTCGCTGTAAAATTCTTTGTTCCCTGATCCTCTGAATATCCCATCTGGGAAAAACAAACCAGACAAACAAAACAAACAAACCCAACATTACTGAAAACCTTCTCTATAAAAGCAACTCCCACAATCCAGATGCTAAGAAGCTCTTTGCTTACTCTTCTTGATTGGGGGAGGCGGGGAGGATTAAAGAGAACTGCCTGCCTGGTTACAGGACACTGTTTAGGGCTAGCAGTTCAAATCATGTGCTGATGTTTAGCAGAGAGTGGAACTGAGAGAGGGCACACCTGGAGAAAAAGAAGCCAAACATTTTACCTACAACAACTACCACTTCAAACAAAGATACTCAACCAACTGGGAAGCCGGTAATTTAAGCGTTAAGAGATCCAGGACTCTCCACAGCATGGATGAGAGTGTCAGGGTCCCAGGGCTCAGTTGTTCCCAGGATGAACATCTCTAGCCTCACCTTTTCCTTCTCTTTTCATCCAGCTCCAGTTTTGCATGCCGCTTTGAAAACACACTGTCATCTAGGTTCTGTGTAAAGAACAGAAGCTGATAAGCTATTTATCACCATGTGACACACATACACTAATCCACTTCCAGCTTCCAGGAAGGTAAAACCTTTCACCTTTAGGTCCCACCGGAGTCTGAGTTCTATGGATATTATGGGAACCTCCTGGTAACAGAATCAATAAAACACATTCTCCTCCCACCCCCACCCCCTGCACCCTTGTGCAATCTCCAAATTTCAAAGTCATTTCCATAACTTTCCAAAGTGGAAGTCACCTTAAACTAAAACAACTCGTGAGACAGTCATAAACCCCCCATACTTGATAATAATCACAGTTTAAAATAAATATCAAACTTTTAAGAATCAAATAATTTTGTTGCTGAGTGGTGGTACATGCTAACTTTTCTACTTAACATGAACTCTAGCTTTGAACACTCCCTAGCTAAATTATTTAACCACCCGTGGACTTCAGTTTTCTCATCTATACAACAAAGAGTTGGAGTGGATAATCTCTCGTGACATTCTGATTTTAAAGTTTTATTTAGCCCATTCATAGTTATTATGACATATTCACGTTAAACGCCCATTTCTACTCTGTTTCTCACTGCCTTCCATTAACAGGTCTTGGGTACCTACCTCCAAAAGGTCTGAAGGATTTGGGTCCCTTAGAGGCTCTACTGAGTGGTCCCTCCAAGAAGGAACTAGAGGGGGAAAAAGAGAAAAAGAAAAAGAAAGGGAGGAGGGGTGGAACCACTCTTAAATCCAAGATCACAAAACCCTCCTCCTATTCACTAGGACAAGAGGTCTCTCCCCAGTTAGACAAAGTTACCAAGTGATAGGAATCCATTCTATGGCCTCCCCTGAAGCCAGTCAGTGTCCTCGCTATGGTATAAAAAAACCTAAAATGCCATTGCAGTCTGCCAAACACAGGATCACAAAAAAACCCTAAGCCAATACCTGACAATTCATATAATGGATGCTATTGCAGTTCCTGAAAAACAACTAAAACGTGCAGTCATTTTGAAGTCTATAGTGTAATCACACACCAAGGAGTCTCACTCTCCCACATCCAGCTGCCAACCATCCACCGTCCCACCCCCCAGCCGCCCAGGCCCAGCCGGCACAATCCCTATTCTACTCACCAGCCAAGACTGAAGTTTCTCCTGCAACACTTGATGGCATCAGACACCCTAAATAATGCAGGAAAGAAGAATCATCTCAGTGTAAAAAGAAAAAAAGCCCATACCCAAAATGGAGGAAAGGAGCATCACTGATGTTCTCACTAGGAAGCCATTTGGTTTTTTGAGTTGCTCTTTTGAGAATTTCTCTCTGGGGGAGGGGAAGAGGGAACAACAGACAAAAGAAAAGAAAATAAGCCCACCACTTTTTTTTTTACACTGAGACGACTTCTTTTCTTCATTATTTAGGGTGGTTTCCCTGCAACAGTTGATGGCCAAGGATATCAAACCTTAAACTCAGAACATGGCAGGTGAGTAAAAGTTGACCCTATTTTTCAAATAAAAGATCAGTGTTCTCAAAACTTACATATGTAGTCTTCTTAAACAGCTCCCTCCTCCCTCCACACAAACTACCTTGCTGGTCCAGCCTGAACAACATGCACAAAGACTTTGGCTTCCTTAGATCAAGCCATTGAGACTTCCTCTTGAGACAGGGCATCAAGAATAAGGGTTCACACGTTATTCACAGCTCAGGCTCCTCAAAGGGCTGGGATTCCCTCCTCCCCTCCATCAGACTCCTTCTATACTGCTTGCTATGCCCACAATCTCGGAGGTGCTTCAAGTTTTCTGTACTAGGGCAGATACGGTTTTCAAAGACAGCCAGTCACATAGAACAGCTCTGGACCAAGCTATTTCCCAATCCCGGATGGGAAGTTGCTTCAGTTTCTCTTGTTACACAGTATTGCCATGACAGCAAGAAGGTTAACTTAAGGATGAACCTGTTCAACTGACTGAACACAACAAAAAAACCTAAACCTAGGTCAGGATCCTGGTCTATTGCATGTACTCAAATGAGGCCTAATAAGTTTTAGATAATTAAGAAGAGTAATCTATCTTCCCCACTTAATTTTGTAACCAGAACAGCCTGACAAAGCCTGGAGAATGCTCTTATCTTATTGGAATGGATTCCCATCCCCATCCCTGCTGGGGCAAGACACAGTGGTAGAAACTCGGGGCTGCAGCTCTATTCAAGAAGGCTCCCCCCACCATCACCCGGAGCGCCCACAGTGACTGTCACAGACTAACATTGCACAATTGAAGGCACAGTGCAGTTACTGATTGATGTAGGAGATAGGGGAGCACCTCTGTGTGGAAGCCATAAAGAAAAAAGGGAATGAAGACCAAGGTCCCACACCCCACACCCTCCCCAAGCAGCTCAGATATCCCAAGATAGTCCTTATTGTTTGAAAAATAGTTTGTAGACCATTTTATTTAAATATATGAACAACCAATGGGCTACTGCAATCCAAGTAAACTCTTCACATTTAGAACCTTTGTGAAGTATAGTAAGATAAAGTAAGACTGTTGGTCTTTTGTAGATCCCTCCTGCCCCCCAGACCGGGACATAGAGATACAGATAAATGTTTATATAGTTAAAGAGCGGAGGCCCAGGTGAAATTCCCCACCCCAAGCTGGCTCCCCAACCCAAAAATTACCATTGGCCCCTGAGAACACCCAAAGACCACCCTCCCAGGTTTCACACAATATCAATTGCAGGAACAGTCGTGCATAGCAAAGTATAAGTTCTATGCATTTCACAGCACAGAAAACCCTTCTTTCAGTGGGCATGCAAGTTGCCGGAGATTACACCCCCAAGTCTGGTGCTCTTGTGATGAGCAACTTACTGGCAAACACATCTCCCAGTGTTGTAAGCAGGCAAATACATTGAGCACATTTTGCTGTGATTCCATCTATTTGCAATGCCTGCACAGTGTCTGTCTCTGGCTGTTAACTTACTCATTCTTGACAGAACTCTGCTTTATTGATTGCACTTTTTAAAAAATGCCAAGGGCATTTTCACACTTGTTAGCTTGACCGCCACCACTAGGGTATAAGAGCAAGTGTTCTCTATGCCTTACTTGCTACAGTCTCCTCCTTCTTTGGAGAGGATTCCCGTAATGGTAACGGTGATGGGGGAGGCTGGTGCCAACGACACAAATACATTTCTGTGGTGGAAAGGTACGGCAAATCTTCTATTTCACTTGAGAAGGCTTTCTCCTTGGGATGGGTGCTGGGTCCCTTCTGGGGAGTGGTGAGTCTTGGCGGGGTGTCCACTGAAGACCGGGTCTTTTCTGGAGTTTCTTGGCTCCGCAATTCACGCTTACAAACAGTTTCAGATAAGGAGCCACAGGGCTCCTCTTTAATGGGAGAGTGCTTAGGAGTTTTTGTTTTGACTTTTGAAAATTCAGGAGCCAGCTTTTTAACAGGAATCTTTCTTTCTGTACTTCCAAATGGGGATTTCCTATTAGATAGGGGAGAAAACATAATATAATTCATTGACTCTTGGATAAAACCTGATTTGATTTCATTTGGGGGTAGGAGAACTAGCTTATATTCAGGTATCTATCTAGGTTCCTTTGACAGTCATAAGCAGGAATACTCATGCTTAACAGTATATGTAATAGACTCTTAGTAAATGTTTACTGAACAAGTGAATTTCCATCCTTAAAAACCCCTATAGTATTCTATTGCCTACTAAATCTAAAAAGGTCCCTATTTTATTCAAGACCCTTCAGCTAATATTAGGTGCCACTACCCTGTGGCTTATTCCATTACTGTCAACCAAAGACCAATCTCTTATTTCTCCTCCCACCCTCCTAATCCTAGACTACGATAGTTAAAATCTTTATTTCTGTTTTCTTGCTATCTGGCTCTCTCTCCCCTACCACTACTCCCCCCCACCCCCAATACCCCACATTCCTAGAATGCCATCTCCTTTTCTTTTTAGCAACCTAAAGTCTATACTTCTTTTTCAAGATCCATCTCCTACTTAACTCAAAATAATCTTTACTATCCCTGAATCTTACAAAACTTAGTCCGTCTTACTGTTGTCTATCTGCATATTTTATTGCAGTTGAATTCTTAGCTTTTAAAACTTATGCCATCCTTTCAGCAAATCTCTTTGAGTCTTAAGAGTTAGATCTTACTTTTTTTTGGATCTTACTTTTTTATATCCAGTAATACCTAACACAATTAAGAAAGGTAACACTTCCTAACTTGAAGTGAACTGCCATAGTTTTCTTTAAGAAACTCGGCTGTCACATTTGTTGTCCATTCTCTTTATGATGTACTCTGCATTCTGTAACTACTACTGTGACCAAAATGTTCTAACAGACTTTTATAGCATGCACAAAAATGTTTCAAGAGACTTTCTCAACACAGAAAGCCTCGTAATTCAGAATGTGATTGTAGTAAAACTAATTTATAAGTCCCAACCCCTACTGCCAGTCCCAGGAAATAAGTGTCCTCATCAAGTCCAGACAGCATAACAAAGTCATCAGCACACCTTTTGTGGCCCTTTCCACTCCGCCCACATGAGAAGGGCTTGGGAGGCAGAGTCTGGGATGTCTCAGAAAGCTCGGGGGGGCACTCCAGTTTAATTTTCTCAGATAGCTCCGTTTCCTCTCTCTCTTCAGTTTCATAGCCCTGAAACAGCTTATGCCTTTCTTTCTCGTTATCCTTCTTTACCAGCTGCATCCGCCTTTCCATACGTTCAATCCGAGCAAGGAGCTAAAAGAGAGTGGCAAAATGCAGACTTAATACACAAAAAGTTAAATGCAGGTACTCTGGCCTATAGGAATCCATATGGTCTTCTACCTCTTTCCATGGATCACAGCAATTAAACTTATTTTTAATAGGCAGACATTAATCTAAATAGTTCTCCTTAAACTCAACAGAGAAGACAAGGGATATTGCACTGCTTAATTTTAGGGGCTAACCGAGGGACACAGGGGAATTTGTAGTTCATTCTTCTGAAACAAGATCCTCTTCACTGGGAGGGGCCTCAACATGCCTTTTAAACGGCATGGTCTCTCTGCCACTGCTAAGCATGTGGCTCCAAGTCAGCTTGGTGGTTTCCAGAATTAACCGTAGGTTCTTTTAGGAGGCCCTAAGGTTCTCCAGATCCTATCCTCTCTACCTATACTCAAGGGCAAAGTCCAGAGAGTACATTGAGAAGGAATTAAACACTCACACAGTCACAGTGCCAATAGGGATTGCAGTGTTATTTGAAAGGGGTCTGGGTGGATGATGGGTGTCATCTAAACAATGAACATTTAATTTGGAAGAATTGAAATAGAAAGTATTACCATAAATCCCATCTATGGTGAAATATGCATACTGCTTTGCTGCTTTGCACTTGAGACAACAGAAGAAAATTATACCTACTTATCTGAATATTGACTAAACGTAGTCTTTTAACTCTAAAGGGAGAACGACAGAATCAAATAGAAAATGGAAGTCTATTATCACTGAAAACGTCACATCAAAATGTTCTGAGAAAAGGTGCCAACTGGGCTACTGATATCCTATAAATAATTTTTATTTGGGGTAGACAGTGATATTAATGCTGCCTCCGTTACATCTCCTTAGCTGTACACAGATTTCAGTAGAGGCCAAACAACAAATGGAAAAAGAGAAACAAGCTTAAACAACACTAAGACTGCAATACACAACAGAAGCAGCGAATGCCAAGTTCAGACTGGCGCTCTATCCTTAACTCACCTCACTTTTCCTGCCTAGGAAAATCTGCAAAGAGGCCATTCCTCAGGACCTGAGCAGAAACCTCCACCATCAGCAGAACCCCTCTGTCACATTCTCTCTCTTCATCCCCTTCTGTTTTGACTCGCAGCCTTAACATTACTTAACCATGGTTTGTGGGTGACATTTCCTTGATTTCTTCTCCTGCTCCCGTCCCCCCACCCCATGTAAGGATATGGTGTGTTGTAATTACAGTACCATCACACCCCTGGACTGCAGTACAGTAGCTGAGCAGGGCCACCTCCATGTTGAGTAACTTCCACAAATCAACACCAGGAGGTATTTTAATGAAATCTACCCCAGCTCCCGTTCCACCTTGCAGAATGCATTCCTCAAACAGCCGCTGCCTAATGCAATTCATTTGGAAAGCAAACACAATGAATAGCCCTCTGCTCCCTTGCTCAGCCCTTGGCACAAACAGAGAGAGAGAGAGAGAGAAAGGAAGAGAGAGAGTGCGCGCGCACAGGGACTGCTGCAACCTTAACACAATTGTGGAAACCATGTTTATTTTTAGGCAGCTGCAAGGTATGCTAGCACAGTAATACCCAATCACCACAGCTCTCCTGATATCTGAAGGAATATGTTTCAGCACATAAGGTGCCCTTAAGGCGGCTCAGAAGTACAAATACATAATAAATGACTTCCCTGCTACCTTAAGATTCTAACATATAGAGACTCTGGGGGGTGGAGAGGGTCTACATAACACATTTAATATGCTCACTTTCTCCTGATGCCTGAAAATCTTCCAGCCTCTAAACACCATTCCTTTTTTAAAAAAAATAAATATCTTTATTGATTTCAGAGAGGAAGGGAGAGGGAAAGAGAGAGAGAAACATCAATGATGAGAGAGAATCATTGACTGGCTGCCTCCCGCACTTCCCCTGCTGGGGATCAAGCCGGCAACCTAGGCATGTTGCCCTGGACCAGAACCGAACCTGGGACCCTTTAGTCTGCAGGCTGACACTCTATCCACTGAGCCACACCAGCCGGGCTAAATACCATTCTTATACAAGGGAGCCGGTCACTGGGTCAGGTTTTAGAACAGATTCCTATTGAAAAAATAAAAATAAAATCGAAAGCAGTAATTCTCTCAATATCATTTAAGAAAACTGAAAGAGGATTCCACCGTGAATCACCTCTCCCCCTCTGCCAACGAACAGGCCTGCCACCCTACCCTAAGATGCTACGGCAGAGGTTAGAGCAACAGCTGCTCTGCCCCTCTCCTCCACAATGACTCCCTAACGCAGCAGCTCTTTAAATTAACCCCTTCCTCCAAGCCACCACGGGTGCACCCCACCATTTCATCGCCAGCCCATCACACAGCGGGTCTTTCCCCCACGCTAACCATCTTTCCCACAAGCCTGCTGCTGTCATTTTAAATTAACCCTTTGGCACCTGCAACCTTCCCTTCCCACCTACCCCCACCCCCTCGGGAGGGTGCCCTTTCACCCTTCCCTCCAGCCCAACGTGTCTGGGAGCCTGGCTCCCAGGGACCCGGCGCCTAAGGGTACTCCTCCGCCTGGTGGTCAACCTCCTTCCCCCTAACGGGGGGGAGACCTTAACCTCCCACAGCCCCTGGCCCCGAGCATGCGCACAACGCGCCCCCAGGCCCGACCGCCGATTAACCCCTCCCGTACCGTGTCTCTCTCGGACTTGAGCTCCTCGATCTCCTTCTCCTTGGCCTGCAGCTGCTGCTGCTGCTGTTCGATGAGGTCCAATTGCAGCAGAAGTATCTGTTTGAGGCAGGCGGCCTGGCTGGAGGCTCCCGAGCCGCCGCCGCCCCCGAGGGGGCTCTTCCTCGTACTCTTCCATCTGCCCTCGCTGGCCGCCAGGCTCCCGGCGGCGGCGGCGGCGGCGGCGGCGGGCGCGAGGGGCGGCGGCCCGGGCAGAGGTAGTGGCGGGGGTCCCGCCGGGTCCGAGGCGGTGGCGGCCGGGGCAGCCGCCCCACCCTTGTCCCCGGCCCAGGGCGTCGGCTCCTTGGCCGCCGCCACCACGAGCGAGCCCGTCTGAATGGGCAGCACCGCCTGGTACTTGGGCCGGGGGCTGCAGCCGGCGGCGGCGGCGGCCGCGGGGTCCCCCCCGACGCCGGCTTGTTTGGTGGCCGGGGGCGGGCAAGGCAAGGGCACCGAGCCGCCCCAGCTCTCCTCCTGCTGCCCCGGGGCCGCCCCGGCCGGCAGGAGCAAGCCGCGGCCCTTGGCGCCGCAGCCGGCCGGGGAGGGCGCGGGGCTGCCGCCCTGGGCGGAGGCCGGCGGCGGCCCCGGCTCCTTGAGCTTGCGGTGCCGCGGGAGGAAGTGGGCTTCGGCCGCGCCGGCCTCGTCCTCGGGCCCGCCCAGCGCCGCGGCGCGCTCGTAGTCCAGGCGCTGCTCGGGGTTGCCGCCGGCCGGGGCCGCGGCCGCCTTGAACACGGCGGATCTCATGGTCATAGTGGTCCGGAGCGGCCGGGGCCCGCGGCGGGGAGGGGGCGGGAAGGGGCGAGGTGCGGGGGGTCGCGGGCGGGGGGAGGGGAGTTGGCGGGCTCGCCTCAGCAGCGCGGCCGCGGGCCTCGGCTAGCGCGGCGCCTCCGGGGCCCGGGCGCCATCCCGCCGGCGTGCGGACGCGTGGAGGCCGCGGCTGAGGCCCGCCGCCGGCCCACGGGGGCCTCGCCGCCGCCTCTGCTGCCGCCGCCGCCGCCTCGGAGGCAGGAGCTCGCCCCGAGCCGCCCCCGAGCTCATCCCCGGCGCTCGCCGCGGCCCCCCCTGGCCCGGCCGGGCCCGCCTCGTCTCCCCACCCCGCACCCCCCGTCCCCGCCCGGCCCCCCGCCCCGAGCTCGCCTCAGCCGCCCCGAGCCTCCATTTCCCCCCCGCGCCGCCTCGGGAAGGGGTGGGAGGAATGGGTCCGCCCAAAGCCCTCCTACTCCGGGAGGGGGTCTATCGCCTCCCTCGGGGGGTCTCCGCAGCTCGGGGTCCCCTCCCCCACAGTCACCCCGGCCGGCGCCTCGGCGTTTCCCTTTAAAAAAACGGAGCCGCTCGCAGCCGACTCTGCCGCAGCCGCCGCCGCCGGCCGCAGGGCGCATGCGCGGGGCGGGCGGCGGGCGGGAGCGAACCGGGAGCCGCGAGCCGGGAGGCGGCGCGCCATTGTGCAGGGGCCGCCGCCGCCGCGAGGGGGCGGGAGGGGCGCGGGGAGGCCGGGCTGGGGGCGAGCCCGCAGGAGCCCGCGGAGGAGCGGGGTGAAGGTGGGCTGCGGGGGGAGGGAGGAAAGGGCGAGGGCGGCGACGGCGGCCGGGGCCTGCGGAGGCTCCCCGGGGAACGGGAGCGCGAGAGAATGGACCTGAGAGGAAGGAAGAAGGGAGGGAGGGAGGGAAGGGGGCTGCGGGCGCAGAGCCGCCTTCGGCGGGCGGGGACCCCTCGCCCCACGTCCCCGGCCCGCGCTCGGCGGCCCCTTCCCCGGGCCGGCGGCCCCCGCAGCCCTGCCCGCCCGCCCGCCTCCGGGACCAGAACCTGACTCAGTCTCCCCGGGGAGCCCGTGGGTGTTTCCCGGGTGGGGTTCCAGCCCCGCCACCCCCTCCGCTCCCCATTCGCCTCACACCAATGGTGGGGGAGGAAACGAAGTCCTTTGTCTCTGAGGGATCGGGGCAGAAGCGGGCGAACCTCGGGCTGTCACCGGGGGTACAGTCCATGATGTCCGCCCGCCGCCTCCCTGCAATGAGGGCCGCCAACCACCAGCGGTCCCCTCCCAACGGCCGTCCTGGCCTCCGTGTCCCTGCCTCCCCGCATCCTGGGGGCTCCGGGAGAGTCGGGGCAAAAGCAGTCATGTTTACCTTTTCTGGGGATAGGAACACGTTAGTTAGGGCAGTGGTCGGCAAACTGCGGCTCGCGAGCCACATGCGACCCTCTGGCCCCTTGAGTGTGGCTCTTCCACAAAATACCACGGCCTGGGCGAGTCTATGTTGAAGAAGTGGTATTAGAAGAAGTTTACGTTTAAAAAATTTGGCTCTCCAAAGAAATTTCAATCGTCGTACTATTGATATTTGGCTCTGTGGACTAATGAGTTTGCCGACCACTGCGTTGGGGTATTGAGCTTTGCTGAGCCCTTGTCATCTTTCAGTGTTCATCGTGTCCCAGGCAACTTTAGCCAGTAAGTCCTCCCAGAATTCGTCGTGAAAAAGCTTTTAGTTTTAATTGGTTTTTATTTTCTGTTGGAGATGAAAAAGACTAACGTTCTTGGCCTAATGTGAAAACCTCTAGTTAAAACCACGTCTCTGCCTTATGGGCCCAAAGCATGGAGCACGGGAAATTTACACACCGGTGTGAATGGTTAAGAAGCCAGGAGAGCCCCAGTCTGTTCCCCACCAGACTCTGAGGCCTCAGCTCTGCAGGGGAAGTATTGGGATTAGAAGGGTGTGATGTGGTGAGAGGTGATTTCACATGCTGATCTCTCCAGCATCAAAACTTTCAATACCACCCTGACTGGTTTGGCTCAGTGGATAGAGCATCGCCCTGAGGACTCAAGGATCCCAGGTTCGATTCCGGTCAAGGGCATGTACCTTGGTTTCGAGCACATCCCCAGTAGGAGATGTGCAAGAGGTAGCTGATCGATGATTCTCTCTCATTGATGTTTCTAAGTCTCTATCCCTCTCCCTTCCTCTCTGTAAAAAATCAATAAAATATGTTTGTTTTTTTAAAAAAAAAAAAACACCTTTCAATACCACCTGTATACTGATCAACTCACAAATGTGTATCTTCTTCCTGGATGCATCCCCTAACTTCAAAATCATACATCCAACTCCCTAGGAGACATATCCACTTGGATGTCCAATAGGCATTTCAAACTTACATCTAAAATCACATTCCTGGCCCTAGCCGGTTTGGCTCACTGGGTAGAGTGTCGGCCAACGGACTGAGATCCAGGTCATGTACCTTGGTTGCAGACACAGCACATCCCCAGTAGGAGGTGTGCAGGAGACAGCTGATTGATCTTTCTCTCTCATCGATGTTTCTAACTCCTCCTTTCCTCTCTGTAAAAAATCAAAATATTTTTTAAAAAAATTAAAATCACACTCCTGAATTTCCCCCACCCAAATCTTGCTTTTTCTTCAGCCTTCTTTTCTCTCCTTATATCCAATCAGTCTTCAATTCCACTGGCTTTCAAAATATATATCCAGGATCACATACCTTAGCAACACTTCAACAGCCTTGGTCTAGGCCAGTGGTCAGCAAACTCAGTCAACAGTACAATGATTGAAATTTCTTTTGAGAACCAAAAACCAACTTCTGTGCATGAGCCACGAAGTTTCTATCGCACTGTATGTGCGTGCCCTCACGTATTTTGTGGAAGAGCCACACTCAAGGGGCCAAAGAGCCGCATGCGGCTCTCGAGCCGCAGTTGGCTGACCACTGGTCTAGGCTCTAACCATATTTCACTTTTTTATTGCAGTAACCTTGTAATTAGTCTCTCAATTTCAACCTGTGCCTTCCCCTACTTATATCTGTTCTCAGCACAACAGCCATGGGGATCACAAGTGAGATCATGTTTTTCTCTCTCTTCTAAACTCATGGTGATGGTGCCTTAGCTGGTTTTCTCAGTGGTTAGAGCATCGGCCCACAAACTGAAGGGCCTCAGGTTCAAATCCAGGCAAGGGCACGTACCTTGATTGCAGGCTTAATCCCACCTCTCCTACTTTCTCAAGTCAAATGGAAAAAATATCCTCATGTGAGGATTAACAACAACAAAAAAAAACTCATGGCTTCCCATCTTACTTGGAGTAAAAGTAAAATTATCATTATATGGCCTATAGAGGATCTGGCCCCTGGTACTGCTCTCTGATTCCACTCCTACTGCTCTCCCTTTCTTTTCATTTTTCTTTTCTTTTTTTTTCATTTTAAATATATTTTTATTGATTTTGTACAGAGAGGAAGGGAGAGAGAGAGTCAGAGATGTCTATGAGTGAGAAACATCGACCAGCCGCCTCCTGCACACCCCCCACCAGAGATGTGCCCGCAACCAACGTACATGCCCTTGACCAGAATCGAACCCGGGACCTTTTTGTCCGCAGATTGACACTCTACCACTGAGACAAACCAGTTTCGGCTGCTCTCCCTTTCTTTACTACCCCTGCCACACTCACCTCTTAGCTGTTTTTCAAACACACCTGCCATGTCTGCTTAGGTCTTTTCACTTGTTCCCTCCACCTGGTTCGTTCCTTCAGCTATTTTCTCTCTAAATACCTTTTCATCAGATCTTTTCTAGGCACCCTGTGTAAACTCACAGCTCTCCTCCAATCCCTTTCCCCTTTTCTGCTTTATTTTAATTTGTAGAACTTATTACCATCTAACATGTAATTTACTTGTTCTGTCCTAGAGTGTAAGCTTCATGTTTTATTCACTGCTGTATCCTCAGTACTTAGAACCATACCAGGCGCATAGTAGGCACTTAATATTCAGTGAATGAGGAAATGAGTTATATTAAAAACAAAGCATCTACCCTTGACCTTGAGAGTGACAGTCATAGAACAGTATAGCATAAAAATGGTGAAACCTGGGGAAGAAGAAAGTTGTCTAAGAGCACAGTGAGTGTGTGCAGGAGGTGGCTGATCGGTGTTTCTCTCTCATTGATGTTTCTAGCTCTCTATCCCTCTCCCTTCCTCTCTGTAAAAAAATCAAAATATATTTTTTAAAAGCTGGCAATCTTGCCGAAACCGGTTTGGCTCAGTGGATAGAGCATCAGCCTGCGGACTGAAAGGTCCCTGGTTCAATTCCAGTCAACAGCATGTACCTTGGTTGAGGCACATCCTCAGTAGGGGGTGTGCAGGAGGCAGCTGATCAATGATTCTCTCTCATCGATGTTTCTAACTCTCTATCCCTCTCTTCCTCTCTGTGAAAAATCAATAAAATATATATTTTTTAAAAAGCTGGCAATCTTATATCTGTCCCCCACTTTTTTTTTTTTTTTTTTTCTGGAACCTCAACAGCTCTAAAGTTGATTTCACTGCTCCAGACAGAGAAAACATGCTTTTCTCCCCCAATGCCAAAAGGCTGGCATTTGGGGATTGGAATTCTGGTCTTAATTCACAGCATAAGGTAGATAATCCAATCCGGAAAACAAACCTGGTAAGAGAAGATCTCTAGTAAGAAAAGAGAAATCTTGCTTCCAAACCGTTAGGTTTGAAGCTGTAGTAATCCTTGACCTAAGACATACAAAAACACTAGGCAGCCAAGAGGAAAGGCCAAGGGGAGAAGGGAGCTGCCAACTGTGAGGGAACCCGGGAGACCTGTAGGACCCATAAATCAAGTTCCTAAACAATTCCCTGCCTATTTATTTCTAATGGGATAATGACCGTTGCCTTTTGCCCTCTGGCTGAAGGTGCAGATGGAGTTGGAGACAACACTTTCACTATTCCTCCAGGGCTTTTAGAAAGGTGTACACTTCCTTTGAACTACATTCTTTG